CATTTTCAAGTCCACCCAGAGTTTTGGGGATTTCGGGGGGTGTCGGTCGTTGGGCGGTTCAATAACCAATTGAGTCATCTTTCTAAGATTCCTTTTGAGTCTCTCTCCCCTTTCCCGGGGGGACTCACGTGACCAGTTTTGGTAGTGAGCAACAAGTACAGTACAGTACAGTGTGTGTGTGTGTGTGTGTGTGTGTGTGTGTGTGTGTGTGTGTGTGTGTGTGTGTGTGTGTGTGTGTGTGTGTGTGCGTGTGTGCGTATGTGTGCGTGCGTGTGTGTGTGTGTGTTTGTACAGGTGATGGCCATCCTGTTTGGTGTGGTGTACTTTCAAAGCGACAAGGACAACGGCAGTGAGCGCATTCAGAACTTTGCTGGTTCAGCCAGTATCATCATAGTCAGCTGTCAATACTCCACTATCTATCCCGTCGTGCAGGTACGAGTGCAGTGGCGTATACAGTTAACTTTGCTAATAACGACTGCGGATGTAACGACAATTCGCGAATAACGACAGCATTTCCATGCCCAGAGCAAAGTCCCTTCCAACTGTAATTCATATAATGAGACTTCGGGTATAACGACACTTCGCGAATAAGGACACTTTTTTGATGCCCCGCAGAGTATCGTTATAAGCGAAGTCGACTGTACTTATACCGTAAAGTACCGCCAGAGCGCCCCACCAACTCGTCCTTTCGTGGTCGTGCTATGGAGGTGGTGTCCTGTCTGTAGGTCATACGACACGTACCTTGTACACGCAGCGCACGGTGTGCAGTCATTCCGTATTCAGTCTACCACGGAGCCCCACACAAGAACATGTTTTTAAGCGTGACCTTAGTACACTCAAGTTTTCACACCGTACTTGAAGTACAAACTTTGTTGCACTCTGCCATACGATTTTCCTTTCCCTGGCTGTAAAAATCAAGGTGGCGCGCTCTCGCGAGACGGGGCGCTGTGGCGGTACTTTCCTGCTCCCAGCCCCCGTACCATTTCCACACTCAGGCAATGGACGACAAGATGATTACAGTCAGACCTCGCATAACCGCACACATCCGTTTTCCAGAAAAATATCCGGATAGGCGAGGGAACCGGATAATCGAACACACATACTGTATGTGTACATGGCATATGCTGCAAATCGGTAACCAACGATTTTCTTCCGGATGGTGAGGGATCCGGATAAACGAGGACCGGATAAGCGAGGTCTGACTGTACATTTAGAAGACTGTGTATTATGAAAAGATGACGGAAACACAGCTAGACACGACGAACTCAAGACGAAGACTGCTCTTCACACCTCAGCAAACATACCCATGCACCAACACACAACACGTACGCACGACGTTCACAAAATTACAAACTACAACATATAGATGGTCGCAGGGTTTCGTGGCTAAGGCTCACTTAGGGGTCATCGCAAAAGGTGTTTTCTCGTCCCTGAAACGAACACCGGTCATTCCGTACTCGGAACCCTCCCCTCCCTCTGAAACGAACGCAGCCTGCTGTGCTGGACGACGAAAAGCGCATTCCTTTTCTCTGTACAGTGTCGGTCGACTTGCTATCTTCTGATTTCTGAATTGCTATCTTCTGATTTCTGAATTGCTATCTTCTGATTACTGAATATTTTAATGTCTTGTCCTAGGTTTTGCCATCGGAAATGCAGGTGTTCATACGTGACCATGACAACCACATGTATAAGACCTGGGTGTACTACATCTGCAAGTTTGTAGCCGAGGTAAGGCAGACGGAAATTGAGTATGTGTCTCAATGTGTAGGTTTGTGTGTGTGTATGTGTGTGTGTGTGTGTCTGTGTGTGCATGCGTGTGTGCGTGCGTGTTTGTGTTCATGAATATCAAGCAAAGGAAGCTGACAATAATCAACAGTAGATATTGTCATTACAATGTCATGTGCAGTAAAACCTGTGACTAACGACCACCCCTTGGAGCCGGAGAAAGCGGTCTTTAGTGGCAGGTGGTCCTTAGTTAGAGGTTTGCACCGCACAACCATTATAATGAATGTGAGACCGTCCGTGTCTGATAGAAGTGGTCTGTAGTACCAGGCTGGTCGCTAGTCACGGTGGTCTTTAGTTACAGGTTTTACTGTACTAGAGAGGTTGATAAAGCGTACGTATGGTGCTGCCCACAAGAGACCCCTGTCACTTCCTGCCCCTGTACACCAGTATTGACCATGGCTTGCCTGAAGCCAAAGCGACAGTATGGCGCGTCAACCCCCCCCCCCCCCCCCCACACACACACACACATATCCGTATATTATTATACCTGTCTGTCTGTCGGTCTGCCTCTCTGGATCTGCTTGTGTGTGTGTGTGTGTGCGTACGTGCGTACGTGTGTGTGTGTGTGTGTGTATGTATGTACATGTATGTGCACGTGTGCATGTGTATGTGCACGTGTACATTCCAGTTGCCCATACAAGTGCTTTATCAGTTACTCTACTCGGTGATCACGTACTTCATGATCGGTATGTATACCTGTTAAGGCTGTCATTGAGTAGTAGGGTACCCATGCTACCCGCAATTAAAGTTACGGGTAGCATGGGTAGCAGTTTGCTCCTGAGAACCCGATCGGGTAGTTGGAGTACGGTGTTTTCGCAACAGTGCATGTAAACAGAACGGCTATGTGCTCACTGTACACTTTCTATGTAGCCCAAATACACGCTCACAGTACAAACTATGTAAAAAATACCCGATATGGTACCCGTGCTACCCGGATAAAGATACCGGAACTCGTTACCCGACCAAACCCCTACCCGTCGCAGCCCTAATAACTGTGGCACATGTTCTGCTGCACTCTTGACCAAATGCATCCCAAACGCTACCAGAAAACTAACACCGCCACTCTTAGCCTGAGGCTGTGGCGTACCTAGCATTTCCGGCTGGGCGTTCTTGGGCTCCACGTTCTTCGGCGCGCGACTCCACCGCATGCACATATATGTTGTAGTCGTAAGTCTACCATTACTTCTCCATCACTGCATCAGCTCAACCGCCACCACTGGACTGCCTTTTTACACTCTTTTATTGACGAATAACCAAGAACACGGAAAACGACTACATCTTGACAAGACGACAGACCAAAGACTAGCTCACACAGTTTCGCGCATGCGCACAACACCACCAACCAATGACGCGTGTCCACAGCGACCAAGACGAAACAAACACGTGACACCAAATCTACCACAATATCCCGACCAAAAAAACACATACCGTCCTCGGCATGACCAAATAAAACACAATACGCAGAGAGACGCAACCGCAAACAGCAAAAGTAGCCACAGGACCAACGCATGTAGCTCCCCCGAATAAAACAGGGCAACCAAAGCCAGAAGAAAGAAAGAGAGGTGAATGTTAAAGAGAAGAGAAGAAACACTGCATTGCTGTCTAGCCACGCACACACAAAAAAACACAGGCTAAACCTAAGCCTAAAAACCGATGAGCCCTGCCCATCCACACAACGCCAGTCAAACCCATGACTGTCACCGAAAAAACAAAAATAAATAAAATATATACATGGCAACGACAAACAAGCAGCGAGTCTAGCTCCCAGCAATGAACCGGGGCTCACCCTGATCGGACGTTCGTTGCCTTCGATGTGGACTGCCACAAGGAGAACCAACCGTGGTTCACCATGATCAGACGCCAGTTCCCAAGACAAGTAGCAATTCAAACAAACTCCCGTATGCACGCACGCATGCACACACATAAACACTCACCGGAAAACAAAGAAAAGAAGAGAGATATGGAGAGAAGAAAGGCGGCGCATTCCCAGCCAGCACACGACTTCGGAGCAGCAGGAAGCCAACTGCTTCGAAGTCGTGTGCTGGCTGGGAATGCGCCGCCTTTCTTCTCTCCATATCTCTCTTCTTTTCTTTGTTTTCCGGTGAGTGTTTATGTGTGTGCATGCGTGCGTGCATACGGGAGTTTGTTTGAATTGCTACTTGTCTTGGGAACTGGCGTCTGATCATGTTGAACCACGGTTGGTTCTCCTTGTGGCAGTCCACATCGAAGGCAACGAACGTCCGATCAGGGTGAGCCCCGGTTCATTGCTGGGAGCTAGACTCGCTGCTTGTTTGTCGTTGCCATGTATATATTTTATTTATTTTTGTACCAAATCTACCACATATACACACACTAGTGTGTGGACAGACATGTCTGTGGTGTCACTGTATGGACGTGGTGAAAAGGCGTTTCCATGCGGAGCCATTTGGTGTCTCCGTGCGGAGTCATTTGGTGTCTCTATGCGGAGTCATTTGGCGTCTCCATGCGGAGTCATTTGGCGTTTCCATGTGGTGTCATTCAGCCATCTAGCAGCTCCAAGCAGAGTCATCATTCGCTGCTTCAATGCTATCACCAGTTGCTCGAATCGGCACTCCCAGCTTATCCAACACTTGGTTGCTCTGTTGCGAGGTGGGTGGGAGTGGGTGGGAGTGTGTGGGGGGGGGGGGAGGGGGAGTGGGGGGGGGGGGGGGGGTGCTAATGTACATAGCACACTCTGGTGGGTGGACAGACATGTCTGTGCTGTCACTGTGCGGACGCGGTGACAGGTCTGCATCAGAATACTGGCGGTTGTAGAACGATATACAGTAAAACCTGTAACTAAAGACCGGCACCGTGACTAGCGATGAGCCTGGCAGTACAGACCACTTCGCCAGGCACGGACGGTCTCACATTAAGGTTGTGCGGTGCAAACCTCTAACTAAGGACCACCTGTCATTAAAGACCGCTTTCTCTGGCTCCAAGAGGTGGTCGTTAGTCACAGGCTTTACTGTAATGGTTGTGCGGTGCAAACCTCTAACTAAAGACCACCTGCCACGAAAGACCGCTTTCTCTGGCCCCAAGGCCAGGGTGGTCGTTAGTCACAGGCTTTACTATACTTGCTGAATACCTGATCACGATAAGCGGGCGGTCTCGACGACGCCATTGCATACCCTCCCTCCGCTGTACCGTGCTTATTGTCTGTTCACCTTCAGGTTACCGTAACGACATCAGCGGCTTTCTGACGTACTTTGCGGTCATGTTCATGTCCTCGATGAACGCTAGATCCCTCGGTAAGTTCTGAGCAGGCATTGAGCATGCACTGGCCATGCACTGGGCATGCACTGAGCAGGCACTGAGCATGCACTGAGAATGCATTGAGCATGCATTGAGCATGCACTGGGCATGCCCTGAGAATGCATTGAGCATGCATTGAGCATGCTCTCTGAACGCTAAATCTTTCGGCAAGTTCTGAACAAGCATTATGAACACGGGTGACCTCGATAAAGCGTGATTTACCGTACTCCCCTAAGATACCGTATACATTCTATTATATTTTTTAAAGCGCCGTGCTTATATTTTTTCAACACCCCTCTACCCCGTGCTTATCTTGGAGACCGCGCCTATATTGGAGACCGTGCTTATATTTTTTCAACCGATACATCCATACAGGGCAAGAAGAAATACATGCTAGATATCATGCATGCAGCATTGATTTCCACCGAGACCGTGCTAATAATAGAGACTGTGCTTATAAAATGTTTCGAAAGGCGCTCACAGTGTGCTAGTACCGTAAAGTACCGTCGATCCGCCCCCTCTCTAATTCCCGCCCCCTGTCGATTTTCTACCTGTGAAGCGACTTCGGCAACGAAAATACGATGTTGAACCGACGCATGCACTGCTGTACACAATACTTGCCAATCCAGGATCAAAATGTGCACAATCCAGCACATCGAGTCTGAACTTCTACGTTGCTGTACATCGTACTGCACTTGACAGCCTTGATCTAATTCCCGCCCCCTGCCGAAAACCCAGCTGGGAAGCGACATGGCGTGGGGGCGGATCAACGGTACTTTACGGTATTAGAGACTGTGCTAGTAATGGAGAATATACGGTATACAGTTGCAGCACCTTGGCCGCTACATACTACAGGATTTACAGTCCGTGGAGGTGTGTGTGTGTGATACAGGGGGTTCCCTGCACGCTCAAACTTCGCATATCCGGACACCTCAGACACGGACACGCACTCTGGCTCTACCGGGAACCTTCACGGCTTAAGTTCCTAAGCAAAAGTGCTTCAAATTCCGTGGGGGGGGGGGGGGGGGGGGTGTGCACCCGCTGTTGCCGGGTGCATACGCACACTGTTGGTCACGGGTTCTTTGGTTTTACGCTGGTTTGTATTCTTGTTATGTCCCCAGTGGCGGATCCAGGAGGGGTTCCGGGGGTTCCGTGGAACCCCTAATTTTCGTAAATCTACTAGTACTGGCAACCATATGCGTGTCCATGTACATGTATCAGGCATTCAGTTTTGTCTATACTGGAACCCTCCTATAGAGATCGCTGGATCCGCCACTGGTCCCCCTTGCGAAAATCGCAATTTTTAAAAATATAACTACATCAGGGGTTTTCCCTTTTCCATTCTCTCGACTAATGTGTACATTTAACCCTTTGGAGTCCGTAACTTTTTTGCTTCCGCAGAATTTGTGGCAGTTACGAAAATGCGCACTCCATTTCCAACATAACTTTGGTCCTACTTCACCGATTTTGAAGATCTTGGGCTCGTTGGAAAGCTCTTGATGAGAGAAATACAATGAGCCCAAACTCGCCAAGAGCATTATCTACTGTCCGCCACAATGCGCCCCAAACGCGAGTCCAGCTCCAGATCTGAGACGAAATCGGTCTCCTGTAGCCATTTCACTGAATCTAGCTCGGAACTGTTCAAATTCTTTCGAGTAGAAGCTTACCTTGCCGTGACTTCGCGCCGCGCCGGTCCTGGCACGTGCCGCCTGTCATGAAGCTGGGAAAATCCCTTTTTTTCACGCACTGCTGACTCGCAGCATGCTGCGCAGAAAATTCGAAATGTTTGATCGCTCGCCGCTTACTCAACCTTCATCGGAGAGACTTCGGACCTGCTTGAGGCGATAGCTGAGAGTTTTCTCTATCATCTAGACCCTTGTACTGTTGAATTTGGTCAAGATTTGGCCGAGAAGCGAAAGTTTGACTGCGCCCACATACATACAAAATGCCCATGGTTCAAAATCGAACCATGGACTCCAAAGGGTTAATAGGCTGCTTATAGTACAGTACTGATGGTGCCAGTGTGTGTGTGTGTGTGTGTGGTGTACTGTTGCTGTGCTGTAGGTTTTCTCATCTCATCCATAGCATTTGATAACGCACAGGTAGCGTTAGCGCTGATCACACCGTTCATGATTCCATTCCTACTCTTCACCGGATTGTTCCTCAATGAAGAGTGAGTAATCCTTGTGTGTGTTGTCGGTGGGTGGAGGGTTTTTTTTTTTTTTTTTTTTTTTTCTCTACAAAATCCACATATCTCCAGACACTGGGGTGAATGATGGAGTGTGGTGGTGGGGCCCATTAAGCTCCGCCGACCAGAGGTCTCGGCTTCATAGCTCCATGGACGCACCAAAGGTGTGAGTGAGTGTGTGTGTGTATGCGTGAGTGCATGCGTATGTGTGTATGTATGTTGCATGCATGCTGCGGGTGCACACGTGCGTACATGTGTGTGTGTGTGGGGGGGGGGGGGTCAATTCATCAGCCTTGCAAGCTGTTGAATGGTGTAATCCCAGCACAAGTTGCTATGTCTAACATAGCTGTTCGCTATCATCGCTTCTGCAATGGGCAGGTCTGAGGTGTGTGTGTGTGTGTGTGTGTGTGTGTGTGTGTGTGTGTGTGTGTGTGTGTGTGTGTGTGTGTGTGTGTGTGTGTGTGTGTGTGTGTGTGTGTGCGTGTGCGTGTGTGCATGTGCATTTATGAATGAGTGTGAAACATATGTGCACATACGTATGGTGTTCATCTTGTTGTTGCCGTCGTCGTCGTCATCGTCATTGTTATCATCGTTCTTGTACACAGCGATGTACCAACGTATCTGGTATGGTTGGACGTCACTAGTTTCTTCAAGTACCAATGGCAGGCCGTCATGATCAACGAGTTTGATGACCAGTACTTGGGTGAGTTCAGGCGGAACAACAACAGGGGGTAGCTACTGGTCCTCCTCTTAGGGGAGGGGGGGGGGGGGCGTAGGGGGCACTGCCGCTTCATCTGTATCATTCATACATGTACGATAGCTGGTGCATGTCATTCATGGTCATTATGTGCATACTGAACCTAGGTCGAAATGTTTAGGGGGAGGGGGGGGGGAACGTGCCCCCCCCCCCCCCCCCCGTGCCCTATGCGTCGGAGGGTATTTTAGTGTGGTGCGGTCAGCCATCGGAAGCACAATTTACTCGTGGGGGAGGGGTTGCTGAACGACATTTTTGGACATGTAGCGTCCAGATCCGTGTGTTTTATTGACTCACAGGGTACCTGGGGCAAAAAGTGGTACAGTCAACACAGTAAGACACAACACCGTAGTGACCGTACCGCGGCGGTACCGTGTCCAACGCCCCCCTGTAACTGCCCGCTGTGTGTTGTGCCTTGTGTACAGGTAACTGCAGTGGAGTACAGGCTGTGTGCTACGAGAACGGTGATGATGTTCTAGACCTCTACTCACTCGGTTCAGTAAGTACAACTTGTATCGAGAACTCGCACGCTAAATACAGTGGTTTCTCGCCTGTCACATGACCCGGCACACAGGGCAGCCATGTTGGTACCAACTCCACTCAACTCCTGCATCTATGGGTCACATGACGTCGGTGGTCATGTTTGTTCCACTGTCCACATGACATGATCACTTTCTACGCAAATTTAGTCACATGACACACTGATGTGAACACCACTCTATATTATAAGGGGTAAACAGCAGCATTTGGCCGTGTGCAGATTTTCACCACACCATAACTGCGCCACTCTCCAGCCAACCCGTAGTAGACACGTTGCCACAGCACACCACCAGCACAGTGACACATCCCTTGGTACTGAATTCCTTCATACAGCTGTTTCGAGTATAAAAACTCTCGTCAGTGAAGGTAGATAATAGAGAGTTTACGATTAATGTCTTTTTTTCCAATTTCAAACGTGAGATCTCATGGCCAAATTGGCGCTCCTCACATTGCAACGTGAGATTTCAACACTACAGGGGGCCAACTCACAGTGAAAAAAGCGATTCAACGTACTTTTTTTTCTCACATTCTAAATTGGGAAAAAAGTGAAGCGTTAACTCTCTACTGATTTATGAAACACAGGATGGCCCCTGACACGAATGCTGCGCATTTCGGTATTGTATTGATTTATTTGAATTCGGTATCTACTGAGGGGCCGTCCGTAATTATCGATCTTTTTCACGAAGCGAAAAAGGTTCGCTTATGAGTGGGTGGGTTGAGGAGAGTTTCGTTTTGAAAAATATCGATAGCTGAAACACAATCCATTCTAGCTGTCAAATCAATATTATTATATTTTTCGTTCAAGGGGGTGGGTGGGTGGGTGGGGGAGGGTCATAACTAAACTTTTTCGTTCCGTGTAAATTATCAATATTGCCGGATGGCCCCTACACAGTACAACGTACAACTTGGGAAGTTCCGATCTGTGTGTGTCATTGTTGTCGTTTTCACTCTTCAGGGTCTCGGCCAGATCTACTTCAATTTTGGAATCATGCTGGTGCTCTTCATGGCCTACTTCAGCGCTGGCTTTGCGCTGCTCACCTTTCGCATCCGCTATCTCAAGCGGTAGCGCACATCCCAGCAACCGCTGGCGGGCGGTCCTCACCATGGCAGGTGGCGTTCCGTTACGCACAGCCACTCAGATTCGAAACTGCCACGGCGCGTGAATGGGACGCACGCGTCGGCATATCCCGCCGTTAGCCGGGTTTTGGCGGGGCAAGTCCACTACAACTGTACAATCGTATCTAAGGTCCTATACTCATAACACGTACTGGAATGGGCTGTACCTGCCAAAAATGGGGCAACTAATACTTGCCCGCAGAAAGTTGACGGCCATCTTCGATGCATACCTCCCATTGCATCAAAGTATTTTTTCACGTAGCCCACTGGATAGCTGTAGCCCACTGGATAGCTGTAGCCCACTGGATAGCTCGCTTCTTGAATTCCTCTATTGACAGTTCATCTTGCACAGTCGCCTCTGTATCAGACGTGAATTGTTTGGACCTTCGAATTTGAATTTGCTTCACCATGCCTTTCAGAATGAGACGTTTTTCTAATTTAAGTTCTTTTAAACCATTGAGGTGTCGTTTAGACTTAGAGCATGCAATTGCAGTAGTTCGTGCTTTGTGAAGATTACGATTGTAGTCGCTTTGCGTCACGTCTGCTGACACACCGTCACCATGGAGACCGCCTGTTCTCTATCAGCAAGTGTAGCAAGAAGGACCCACAGGTGGGTGTGATCCCCGGTGGCCTAATCGGTAGGGCACTGTCCCGAAAAGACAGGGGTGCTGGATTCGAATCCCGCTCGTGGATCCTTCTTTTGCAACACAAGCTCCTGGCCTAGATCTAAAACAAGCTAGGTATTAACAAACGATTACTCTAACGAACGAGTACTCTCTAACCGTATCCACATACTTATGTACACCGTTTGTCACCGGATTGCATGGTAACAGAAAGTCAAAGTAGCATGGTTTATCATTCACGATTCAGTAGTAAAAGCCACGAGGATCCACAGCTGGCCACTGTGACTAATGCCCGACCATATCGGGCGAAGAATGCCATTTGCAGGGTTATGTTTGATAGCATTCTTTTTGACACTTGACTGTGATTTCTGTGGATGAACTTGAACTTGGTGCTCATGAGATGCAGACAGTGCCGGGTACTGCTGTAATGACATGTGCATGCGTGTGTGTGTGTACGTGTGTGTATGCGTGTGCGCACGTGTGTGTGTGTGTGTATGTGTACGTGTATGTGTGTGTGCGTGCGTGCGCATACGTGTGCGTGTGTGCATCAGCAGTGTACCCGGCTCTGCCAGGGCCCACAGCCGATGATCCGGGCATTCCGGCAGTGTGCAAAAATAATTAGGGCTCAAACGATTAGTCCGATTAACCGGTTGCAGACCGGTTACGAAGAATTAACGGTTAACCGATAAAGATAACGGTTACGCAGTAACTTTTCAGTCAATTTTTCAAGTATCAGGTCGTTGCAAAGTATGCACTTTCGCAGGCTGTCGCACGCGTACGCAATTTCTGGGCTGTCAACTTGGTCAGTCTGGACTCTTGGTGCGAGAGTATGTATGAATGAGCATGCAAGAGAATGTACATGTGTGCGTTGTACTGAATAGGGTACATTTTTTGCATGAGTATAGTCAAATACACGGTTAAAAAAGAGTCCGCAGACTTGCCGTGGCTTATAGGTTATAACCGGTTAACCGACCGTTAGCTTAGCAGTTAACCGTCAGGGGTAAAACCGTGACCGTTTGAGCCCTAAAAATAATTAATTGAATCTGAGCAGACGTCAATGTCAAACTGCCACAGGCATACGGTGTGTCACTACTCATTAGTGACAACGTCATGCGTCAGGAGTCACTGTCAGTGTAGTGATTATTACTACACTGTCATTTGCGAACCTGCCAACATTTGAAATGACTCCAAGTCCATCATGGCACCAGTACTGTGACTGTACCGGTTCAAGAACTCGACCACTCCCTGATGCAAACAGGGTGAAGCTAATTTACAGACAGTAGTACTACTACAGTGATACTTTACCGGGTGCTGTCAGGTCTACAGTATTTTGACGTTGACCGACTCCCTGGGAATATTCAACACATTGTAAACAAACACTCAAAAACAGCGTGAGCTGAGATGTCGCGATGCCCGGACTAAGGCCGCGGTCACGTGGTCACACCGAGCTCGATTCAGCCGTTCAGCCGAAAAAAGCGCTTGTTTACGTCACTACCATGGAAATGGCTGAAAAATGTCCTACAAGCGACTTTCAGCCGTGGCTGATAGTACAGCTGCCAAATGGGAAAATCAACTTTTTCAGGGGCGTCGTTGCAGTTTAGGACCGAGCACTATATTTTAGGCTAGGATGGTAGACAAGGGTATATAAAGCACGATCGTCCTTGTTGGACATCCTGCAGACGTGCGGGAAGCTAGAAATTCCATTCCTTTTCTTCGTCGTCGGGAGTGGTAATTATTCAACGGTCGGTTGTATATTTACAATTCGTTTTGTTATTTTATGACTCGATGTGCTAATTTTACAACACGACGTGTACATATACGTGTTATATTTGTACCGCAACTATCTCGACCACACGTTTTTCATTTGAAAATTGAAAAGAAAATTCTTAGTTACAATTGTAGTTGACTTCTGTACCACTCGTTTCTCAAATGGATTGGAGACTGAAATGTTCACTTGAACGTATAGTGGCTGACGAAATGAAGCCCTAGTACCAGTACGAATCGATAGGGAACGAATTTAGTAGTAGCTACTTCGAGGTTGTTTTGAGAACTCAGGAAGTAGCGTTTACTAGCAGTAGTTTTCTACTACACTACTTTCAATGTTACTGGACAGCCCGAGGCAATCTGGATCACACTTCAGAAGCAAGTAAGCTGTTCATCGTTGCTGAAGATAGGTACTCCGTATTGCACAGTATGAAGTAGTTTGAACGTTGTATGAATGTTCTCATATCACAGCTCTAATTGCATTCACAATTAATTATGAATCATGGTAAATTTGTAACGAATCAGGTAGATGCTATACTGAATTCGAGGGAAATAAGACTAAAAAAGAGTGGCTGGTAATGAGACTGAAAGAGCTCGTCACGAACTGTAACTGGTTATGGAATCTTGATTATCTTGATTATCTAGATAACAATAATGTGATGAGTGCACGATCATAAAGGCTAGAACTTAGAAATAAATAATTTTGGAGTATGTGTGCTCACTACACTCTCCTTTTTGGTAGTCTATAGTACAAAACAGAGCAAGATGCATAGTATATATATCAGCTGTATGTGATATCATGTATCGCTGCTCATTTCCGTGGTAAATAGCATGCATACAACTTCATGTTGGAATGCCCCTGCATTTGCATACACGATGCCCACGCGAAAAAGCCTATAATAATAAAAAATAATAATCTGAACTTAGAAGTTGCGACGTGTGCTCCGGATGGCAGTCGTGAGTCAGTCAAGTGTCAGGTTCGGCAAGAAGCGTGTGTTCCTAGTTGGAACAATAAACTTCATAAATAATAATCTATCTAAAGAAAGAAATGCTTTGTAAGCCAATATGGTTACTGTCGGGTAAGGTATACAAGTAGGGTAAAAAAACTAAAAGCGCACAGTTGATCACATGCTAGAAGACACATGAGAGCATAATAATTATTATCAGATGTGCTCGCATCATGATTTCTTGTCTTGCATCCCAAGAGCTGTATGCCGCATACACTTCCATCGCATCTAAGCAAGACAGAATGACCAGAGGCATATTTCTTTAAAACCTGTATGTAATGAGGCTCTAAATATTCAACAAACACACCCTCTTCAGTCTCTTGTTACTTATCTTCTCACTGCCCTCTGCCTTTTAATTAATCTTTTTCACTGCCGAGAAAACAGCACGCATCAAAAGTAGAAAACTTGCCGTACCTTCCTAATCAAAATCCGATTGGGGGTCTGAGTCTTCTTGATCTTCGGTGGCATACTCTGAAGGATCAGAATCATCACTGCTTGAGAATGGCTCTTCAGTGGGTAAATTGGTGAGGTCCTGCATTGAACAAACAGATGAATATTACCGGCCAGTACTGCAGCACGTGACTTCTTTTACAAACACACCCATGCATGCAAAACAGACACACACACACACACACACATAAGTACGTACACACATTCGCGCAGACACCCGTACTCGCACGCACAATATGCAAGGAACATGCCAAACAAGAGAGGCTAGATATTATAATTAACCTAAATTAGTATGTGATTGTATACCTCTGCTTCAGCAGCCAGTGAAGCAGGTGGTGGCGCAGATGCTGCCTCTGATTCTTCTGGCGCGTCAATGGGTAAATTGATGAAGTCCTGCATTGAACAAACAGATGAATATTACTGGCCAGTACTGCAGCACGTGACTTCTTTTACAAACACACCCATGCATGCAAAACAGACACACACCCACACACGCACCTAACCACACATGCACACATGCGCGCTGACACCCGTACTCACACGCACAATATCCAAGGAACATGCCAAACAAGAAAAGCTAGATATTTCAATTAACCTAAATTAGTACATGATTGTATACCTCTGCTTCAGCAGCCAGTGCAGCAGGTGGTGGTGCAGGTGCTGCTTCTGATTCTTCTGGCACCGCTAGTTCTTGAGGTAGTGTCGCTGGTCCAGGGACGGACGGTGTACCGAATGAATTCTTGCATCCTTTGCATTGGCAAATGTCGTTACAGGATAGGGTCTGACTTCGGCATGAGCACCGTCGTGTTGAGCAGCCAGACTGTCACTTGCATGAAACTAACTTCAGTATATCTTGGGGGGCTGCTTGCTGCTCCATCCACACTATAGACAAGCCAGCTACAGTTCAGCAGAGGAGTAGACAACATACATGTAGATCCCCAAAACCTGGTAACAAAAATGATGGTGATTTTCACAAGGCATTTATTAGGAGAAATTTGTGCACAGCGTGTTCGTTGTGTTGATTGTTTCAATGCAATAAGTTCATTGGCATTACAGTGTCCTAGAAAAGAATACACATCATGCGGAGCAATGCTTCTCGTCTCACCTTGATCTGATACTCTCCATCCATTCCCGTCGGGGCTGGGGATCTCGGGTGATGGCTGTAAAGCCAATCGCCACACTCTTCCGCACAGTTCTGAGCCAGGAGAAAATCCCATGTGGAGTCCTGTCGAACTCGAGCAGCTGCCACAACTCTGCTATAGCTGATGTTCGACAAAGACACTCGAGCATCGTCACGCACGTCCACACAGTGGCACAAACAAGAATCCCACGATTTGGCAACATTACTTCCGCCTGGCACCACTACGAAGCTACTGCCTTCGAGAGGATTACTGGGCGCATCCTGGCTCGCCATGAGTCCTACTTACTCATGATCGAACACCGTCCGCTCTGCCATAACTAAAACAAGAGCCCAGGGACTTCGCGCCGGTCCTAACTGCAATACCAAGTGGATGTACGTGTGGTTTGTATTTTATTTGTGTGGTATCTGCATAATTTCAAAATTCAGCGTTTTCCTCTTCTTCTATGCATTCAAATTCAGCGTCGTCCTCTTCTTTCCTGCTCAACATGACCTCAAATGCGAGACTGCGTGTGCGTACTCAATGCTCATATCCTTTCCCAGCCTGGAAGAAACCCCTTATAAAG